AATATTTTGCCATTTTCAACTTGGCTTCTTTCGCTTAGCAATATGTTTTCAGTGTTCCTCCATGTCTTTTCATTGTTTGATAGTTCTTTTCTTTTTCTTTTTCTTTTTTTTTTTTTTTACTAAATAATAATCCATTGCATGGGTGTATCACAGTTTTCTTTATTCATTCACCTAGTGAAGGAAATCTTGTTTGCATCCAAGCTTGCAGTTATGAATAATGCTTCCATAGACATCGTGTGGAGGTTTTGTGTGGCTATACATTTTCAACTCATTTGAGTAAATATCAACTAGTGTGGTTGCTGGATCATACAACAAGAGTATGTTTCTTTTGTAAGAAACTGTCAACCTGTCTTCCAAAGTAGCTATAAAATTTGCATTCCCATCACCAATGAATGAGAGTTCTTATTGCTCTGCATCCATGCAAACATTTGGTGGAGTCAGTGTTTTGGATTTTAGCCCTTCAAATAGGTTCGTTGTGGTATCTTGTTTTAATTTGCAATTTTTTAATGAGAAAGATGCTGAGCATTTCTTCATATGTTTACTTGCCATTTCTATAATATTTTTGGTGTTTATCTGTTCAGAAAATTTGCTCAACTTTTAAATGGTATTTTTTTCTTCTTGTTGAGTTTTAAGGGTTCTTTGTACATTTTGGATACCAGTCCTTTATCACATGTATTTTGCAAAGATTTGCTCCCAGCCTTTGGCTTATGTTTTCATTCCACTAACAGTGTCTTTCACATAACAGAAGTCTTTCATTTTAATCAATTCCTCTTGTCAATTTTTATTTCATGGATCATGCTTTTGATGTTATATATAAAGAGTCATCATCAATACCAACTTCACCTAGGTTTTCTCCTATGTTATCTTCGAAGAGGTTTATAGTTTTGCCTTTTCTATTGCAGTCTATGATCTATTTTGAGTTAATTTTTTGAAGGGTGTAAGGTCTGTGTTTAGATTAACTTTTTTGCATGTGGATGTCCAGTTATTCTAGCATCATTGGTTTAAAAGACTATCCTTTCCCCCATTAGATTGCCTTTACTCCTTTCCAGATTAGTTGACTATATTTGTGTGAGTCCATTTCTGCATCTTCTATTCTGTTCATCAATTCTATTTGTCTACACTTTCACCACTAGCACATTGTCTTGATTACTTTCAAGCTTTATAGTAAGTCTTGAAGACTGGGAGTGTCTGTATTCTCACGTTGTTCTTCTCCTTCAATATTGTATTCTGGGTCTTTTACCTTTCTATGGAAACTGACTTTAGAATCAAGTTATTCATATCCACACAATACTTGCTGGGGTTTTGATGGAAATTGCCTTGACTCTATAGGTCAAGGTGTAAAGAACTGACGTCTTAACAATATTGATCGTGAAATACTTCTCCATTTATGTAGATCTTTGATTTCTTCCACCAGAGTTTTGTAGTTTACCTTGTACAGATATTGCACATATTTTGTTAGCTTTAACCCCAAGTATTTCATTTTGGGGGTGCTAATGTATGTGATATTGTGTTTTTAATCTCAAATTCCAATTGTTTATACCTGGTATATAAGAAAACAATGATTTTGTATGTTAATACCTGTATTCTGCAGCCTTGCTATATTCACTTATTAATTCAAAGAAACTTGTTAATTATTTGGGGTTTTATACCTAGACAATCGTGTCATCTGCAAACAATAGGAGTTTTATTTCTTCCTTCCCAATCTGTTTATTTTTCATTTCCTTTTCTTATCTTAATCCATCAGCTAAGATTCTAGTAGGATGCTGAATAAAAGTGGTGAGGGGGATATCCTTGTCTGTTTCTGACTTTAGTGGAGAAAGCTTCTAGTTTCTCACCATTAAGTATGTTAGCTGTAGGGTTTTTGTAAATTCCCTTTATCGACTTTAGGATGTTCTCCTCTATTCCTAGTTTGCAGAGAGTTCTTATAATGAATTGGTGTTAGATTTTATTGAATGCTTTTTCTCCATCTATTGATATGATCACGTGATTTTTCCTCTTAGCCTGTTGTGATGCACACCTGAGATAAATCCCACTTGGTATTGGTGTATAATTCTTTTGTACGTTGTTGAATTCAACTTGCTAATATTTTATTCCTGAGAGATGCAGGTTTACAGCTCTGCTTTCTTGTAATGTCTTTGTCTGGTTTTGGGTATTAGGGCAATGCTGCCCCTGTAGAATAAATTAGGAAGTACTCCCTCTGCTCTTGTTCTCTGAAAGCATCCAATAGGTGTTGGAGTGTCATGTTTCCATTTTCATTTGTTCTGAGATACTTTTTGATTTCCCTTTTGATTTTTCTTTGCCCCACTGGTTGTTCAGAAGTCTGCTGCTTAATTTCCACATACTTGCAGATTTTCCAGCTTTCCTCTTGCTGTTTATTTCTAGTTTCACACCATTGTGGTCAGTAAAGATACTCAGTATAATTCTAATCTTCTTAAATGTACTGAGACATGTTTTATGCTCTATCATATGATCTATCCTGGAGAATACTGTGTATGCATTAGAGAGGTATGCAGATTCGGCTGCTAGTGCAAGGAATGTTCTATAAATTTCTGTATAGTCCATTTGGTCTAATGTATGTTTCAACTCCAATGCTTCCTTGTTGAGTCATCTTACACTTAACAGAGTATTCATGGCTGGCATTTTTTTTCTTTCAATACTTTGAACACATCCTTCTACTCTCACCTCTTCTATGTACTTTCTGCTGAGAAATCCACTGATAGTCTAATAAGGGTTCCTTTGTAGGTTACAATCTTTTTTCCCCTGGCTGCTTTTAGGATTTTCTCTGTATCTTTGATTTTTGACATTTTCATTAAAATGTATCTTGGAGAAGGTCTTTTTGCATTGAGATAAAAGGGTGATCTATTAACTTTGTGAAAATGGATGTCCAAGTCTCTCCCAAGATCTCTGAAGTTCTCAGCTATTACTTCTTTAGATAAACTTTCTGCACCCTTCTCCTCCTCTTCTCCTTCTGGAATCCTGATTATTCTAATTTTTATTTTATTTATGGATCCTACAGATCATGTAGGTTTTCTTTGCATTTTTCCAATCTTTTTTCTTTATTCTCCTCTAATTGGGTTATTCAAAATTCCTGCCCTCTGACTCACTTATTCCATCTTCCATTTTCCTTATTCTGAAGCAGATGCTTTCTATTGCATTTTCCATTTCATTCATTACATTTTCCACCTCCAGAATTTGTTTCTTTTTTATGATTTCTATCTCTTTGGTAAACATCTCATTTTGTCGTGGTATTTTTTCCCTGATTTCGTTGAATTGTCTTTCTGAGTTTTCTTGAGGCTCATTGAGTAACTTCAAAACAGCTATTTTGAATTCTTTATCAGCCAGGGCACAAAGTTCAATGCCTTTGTGTTAGGTTATTGGAGAATCATTATTATCTTTTGGTGATGATATGTTTCCCTGATTCTTCATGCTCTTGTGGTTTTGCATTGCTTCTTTCACATTCCAAGTAACAGATCCCTCCTTAAATCTTTACTAGTGGCCTTTAGAGGGGGTATTCGGTTTTTTGGTGCTGGAGTTTTATCTTCCTTTGTTTGAGTACATCTGCTCCACTCTTTTTGCTCTCTCATGACAGAATTGTTACAATTTTATGTCTTCTCTGGTTCTTACAACTCACCAGCCTGGCTACTGGAAACTTCTCTTCTGTTTTCCAGAAGGTGGTGCTATCCCTGAAGTGTGTGGTTTCTCCGTTGCCCAGAGATCCTGTTCTGTTTTTCTGATAGCACCCCACTTACCAGACTGGCTCTCAGCCCTGAAATCATGAGTGTGCACAAGGAGCCAGTCACACAGTGAAGGGAGTTGTGGGTTTAGCACTCGGGTGATGTGGGTGTCTGCACACCAGTTTGGGAGATTGGTGGTTGAGTTCTCCCAGAGGCTTATGGGAGGACTTCCTTCTGAAGTCCTGAGTAGAATCAGCGGCAACTGTGTCCCTTTAATGGCCTTTGATATTCTTGTCTGCCTCTTTCCCAATCTCTTTCCAGTCATGGAGGTCCGGCCTCAGTACTCTGGGTACTGCTGGAAAGAAATGGGTTTCTATGGCCATGTCCTGAACAACTCAGGTAGTCAGGCATTCACTCACCAATCTCCTTTTTCCCCACTGCAGAGGTCACAGTCACTGTATGGTCAAGCCCCATGCAATATCACTGAACAAGTGCTGGAATCTCCCTTCAGGAAGCCTGGACTTTTGCAAATTCTCTCCCATCTGTGGGTATCTGCCCATCAGCACATTCCAGGTTTTTTCCAACCATGGCAGGAGGAATTGGGCAAGTTCATTTGGGTCGGCTTCTTCCACAGCCCATAGTGAGTTCTTTTGCCTGTTATCAGATGCATGGGTGGGTCAGAATCCTCCCACATCTCTTGGCTTATGTTACCAGATACTACAACTCCAACAGAAGAAATTTTGTTCATGCGTAGATGTCTAATTAGTTGTTTTAAAAGAGGGACAAAAAGGAGGAACATCTTATGCCACTGTGACGCTGATATCTAGAAGAGAATTTTAAAGGACAGGAGAGCAAATAAATATCATGAAATGCCTTAAGAAGAAGTGACAGAGAGACAGGAGGGAAATCATCCAACACAATTGTGACAAAAACTAAGAGAAGAAAGATAATTGGTGGTACCACCCATGTTTCTAAAAGAAACATCATGCTATGAAACTCATGCATATGTTAAAACTACAACCCTCAGCTTAATGCTCTCCATACAATTGATTCTGTGTAATAGGAAGTGCCAAAAAGCCAGGCTACTAATTTACAGTTCACCCTCACAACTCAAAAGGCAATCCATGCTGAGAACACCGAAAAAGATGTCTTGCCCACAAAAAATTTAACAACGGTGTTAACAAAATATATTTCTTAGTACAATGAAAGGAGGAGAGGAGAAAGCCTTAAAGACTTGCTCCTTTAGGACACTCACCCTGTTGGCCATGGTGCTGACACTTTCTAAGGTCTTGACACAGGCTAAATATGTGTCTTTTCCTCCCACAGCCATGGGCACAGCAGGGTCCACCCCTGATGAGCCCCTGCTCAGAGGCAAAAGGAGGCAAGATCTCCAAGAGATGCTGACAGAAGTAGGACTGCCAGTTGAGTACTGGTTACCCAAGCTGCAGGAACACCTGGGTGTCACCTGTGCCCAGGCCTTACAGCACCTGGAAGAAAAAGACCTCCAGAAGCTGAAATCCCAGGCACAACATCCCTGGGAGAAAAGGGCCCTGGAGAAGCTGCTTGACCTGTCACACTCAAATAGTCTTTCAGAGCTACAGGACTCTCAGGTGGAAATGATACAGAAAAAGCAGAAGCAGGCAGAGCAGGCACTGCAGGAGCTACGAGACTTGCTGTCTGAGGGGAGGCAGCGACAGGAAGAGGCAGTGAGGAAAAAAGAGGCAGAGCTGAGGGAGGCAATGGACATCCCCAAAGAGTACTGGCCACCCCCTGAAAAGTCCCTAAAAGAAGTCATGGAAAACATGCAGAGACAACTCAACCTCATGGAAGGGATCCTGTCTCATAGGCAAAACCTGCCAGATAGAGATCTGGTGAGATGGGCATCTGGAGGGCTGGCCCTGCAGGGAATTTACAAAACCAGCTACCAACAGGGCCTAATAGAGAAGAGAGAGGAGCTACTCTGTGTCCCCAAGGAGTTCTCACTCTTTGGCCCTGAGCAGGGTCCACGGATGGAAACAAAGGAATTTACATCTTCTCAAGCAGAATCTATGTTCACCCAGACTATAGAGAAGCTGGGCTTCAGTGTAACTGCCTCAGCCAAGGCAGGAGGTTGGGGATTTAGCCTGGAAGCTGGTATGGATCACAGCAAACATACAGAATCCAAGGAGACCCGACAATCACGTTCTGAGCACTCTTACTTCTGCTCAACCAAGTTCAGCTATGTCCGCTGGCCTCCTGCCACTTTCCCATTGATCAGCTCCAGTTCTCCAAGGCTGCTCTCCAGGAATTGAAATGCATTGAAGACCTTCTGGGTCAAGCTGAAGGCCCAGACAGACTCTCCTTGCTGAGTGCAGGACGGAGCCTTCTTCCCAGGTTTGGCTCTCAGCTAACCAGGGCCTCTGCACCTGGGAGGAATCTACTGGTGGAAAGCCATTTCAGAGGGTTTCCAAAGTGAGCAGCTGCAGAAGTGAAGCAGCAGTCGCAGAGGCCCTGGATAGTTACATAGGGGCAGCTACAGTGGCTTTGGAGTGAAAGTTGCTGCAGGTGTGATGTGTCAGACTCTCATTCAAAAGCAACCTCTGAAGCACAACCTTCCAAATCTCCAAACCAAAGTCCAATTATCTGTGGCCCAGAAGGTGGCCCACCAGAAGCAAATGGCCTTTTGCAGTGGAAAGTGGCCTAGTTGCCAGTAATCAAACCTGGTGTGTCATTGACCGGGGATTTCAGCTGGTGCCGTTTGGGACATCATTCTTTCCAGCCACAGAAGGATTTTAAGGACCTCTTCAGGTAGCTAATGCCTGAAAGACACTAGCTGCTCTGACTGGCTCCTGCCCAGATCCAAGATGGAGAATATTACTGATGTTGGAAGGAGGCTAGAGTTTTCCTAGAGGAGGTGAATCCTGGGAGGTATCTGATCCTGAAGAGCAGCTTAAAATACTGATAAATTTCATGCAAAGTTGAGTCAAAAAATAAAAAGTATGACACTTGGATTAAATATGCCTCAAGATTGGGGCTTCAGAATTTTCTGGTAAACCTTGTCAACTTTTACAAAAAGTCCTCTTCCTAACACTACATTTATTAAATCTCAGTTGCGCACCCTTCTGGACCCTCACATCTACAGAGTGACAAACTTTCCTCAGGCTCATTCCATCATGCAGTGGATCTTCCAATCAGAGTCAGAGCAAGAGCATATCAACATCTCCCAATTTTCTAATTATTAAAATCTTAAAAGAAACACAGAAGACTTCAGGAGTGAAGGCCAAATCTGAGTCCCCAGAAACAGTGGAGGAAGCTCAAAGGAAAGCCACTTATGAGGTCAGCTTGCATCTTGGCTGCTTCTTGAATCACCTCCAGAGCAAGAGCAGCCAACACACAGCTCTTGCTACTTTCCATTGCTGCTGGTGCAGGATATCATGTGGAAAACAATACTTTTCATATCTCCTGGGTGTGATGAGTTAGACTTCCTACTGGATGAAATGCAAACTGCCCATGATAAATATCAGGAGCTCAAAAGCATTTGCAGCTACAGGGCTCAAGCATTCCTGGTGCTCACAGGTCTGACAGCTACTGTGGAGTCACAGCTTTTCTCCAGAGGAGAAAACACAACGCTTGGCTTTAATTAGACATCCATGGGGCAATCCCTGTCAAAAGAAGTTAAACATGTCCTCACCAAACTTGGAGCAGATCATGACTGGGAAAACCTAGAGGAAGACTTGAGATTGCTCATTGATGGGAATTACGAAGCCACTGTCTCTTCGTTGAAAATGGATGAGGTGAGAAAACAATTGCAAAGTCTCTTCCATGAAAAGAAACAACCCCAGAATACACAAGAATAAAAATAACAATAGAGTCATTGAAAATGAGCCTTCCTAGAATTACTCAGCGTCTAGGCCTAGAACATTACTACCAAAAAGGATGAGCAAAGCTAACTTCATCTGATCTACAAGACTTCTGTGTCAAACCCAGCCAGCTCTGAACGTGAGCTTCCTTTCTATTTCCTGCAGAAGCTAGTGATGCTGGATTATGGGCTGAGATACCTGGTCTTAAAGATGATGCAATCACAGAGAATCAAGTTTATCAACAGCCTCAAATCAGGAAGATGAGGCTTCTGATCCATATGAAGACTTTTTTGAAGATCTGATAGTCCACTAATCCTACCACTAATCCCAGGCCACATATCCACCCTATGGATATTCAGATGGCAATTCTTCTCTGTGCAGATGGTTTTGCCAGACAATATATTTTGACCAAACTTTCTGTTTGTCAGTTTGCCCTCCCCTTCTCATACCTAATCCCTGCAATTCTCAGATTGAATTCTTCTCTGGTCTCTGAGTCAAATTAGAGAAGCTGGCAGCAGGCAAAGAAATCACCAAAAGAGGAGAAAACCAATTACAACAATCAGCAGATGTGTCGTGTCTCTACCCCCATTGTGTCGTTTATTAGAGTTGGAGATGGCTTCTCTGCTTCCAAATCTCAGATCATGAACTGTCTTCTCAGTAAACGTAAACATGACGCCTTTTTTCACCGACATGCAGAGAGAGCAGCAAAGACTGTCTCTTGATGGAGGGTGTGGTGGAAGTCTCTGGTTCTGTCCGGGGGAGGATGAGACAGATTTGACAACTGCTTGACCTTCACAATCTTCACGGAGATGCAAAGAAACATAAGAAGCAACTCACCTTCCTGCAGGAGGTCTCTTCTCTCATTGTGGTCCTCATGTCAATCTGATGACAATAAAGAAAACCAAAAGTTGTCCGTGACCTGTGGCAGTCATCAAAACCTTTGATCTGTTTGCTTGATGACAAAGAAAGAACCATGGCCAATATTCTGCCAAAGAGTAAAAATTGGGTCCGGAACAGAAATGAGGCAGAATTAACACAGGAGCTCACAACTCAATCAGACGTTTTCTAGAGCTTCTGGAGCTGCTCTCAGCTTAGAGGACTGTGCCCAGATTGCTCGCAAGCAAGGATTCCTGATCGATGAGGACCAGAGAGATTGCAAGGAAGCCAAAGAAAAGGCAGAGGTTCTAATGGCCTTGTTAAGAGAAACGAAGATATCCCAGATGAAGGAAAAATTACTACCCCTTCAAGGAGAACTGTGGCACCGTTGGTGTAAAAAGGACAAAGAATTCTACCATCTGAGAGAAAAGGGGAATCGAGCATCGAAAACACAAGAGTAGATTGAGAGATAAACAAATTATACGGCATCAACAGTGAATAGAGCCTTTCCTCTCAATGTTTAATGCATCTGTCCTTCAGATTCTCAAAAACTTTCAGAAACTGACACAAACTCTACTTCTTGCAATGGCTGAGTGTTTTTTGGACAACCTGACCAAGGCACTTGGAAAAACTGAATGAAAAGAAAAGTCTTTGTACAAACAGGTACAAACCGAAAAGCAAAAGGCACCAAAGAGCAACAACCTGAAAAGTGGCAAAATGAGATAGAAGTCTCTCTGCAGAGATTACTAACTGTACCTTGGGAATTGAGCAGCTTCTCAGAGAAGTTGGCCAGATCTATGAAGCTCTGAGAAGCTTCCTCCGCCAAGATAGCCTTTTTCTTCCCTTCCCCAGATTGCTGCAGAGCTGATGATAGCCGGTGTTCCCATGAGCTGATGGATGGGGATGCTTCCTATGTGCCTCTAAAGTGGGTGGCAGCTGTTTTTGACATGGTCGCAGAGAAACTTGGAGACAAACGGCTCTTCGTTCTCTCTGTCCTGGGCCTGCAGAGCTCAGGAAAGTCCACCCTGCTGAATGCCCTTTTTGGGCTGCAGTTCACTGTCAGTGCTGGGAGGTGTACTCGGGGGGCCTACATGCAGCTCCTGAAGGTGGAAGAGACATTCACGGAGGAACTCGGCTTTGACTTTATGCTTATTGTGGACACAGAAGGACTTCGGGCCCCAGAACTCAGCAATAATCCCAGAATCGTGACAAATGAGTTGGCATCCTTTGTCATTGGACTTGGAAATTTGACTCTGATCAATATTTTTGGGGAAAATCCATCAGAAATGCAAGATATTCTACAAATAGCTGTCCAAGCCTTTATGAGGATGAAACAAGTAAAAATCTCCCCAAGTTGCCTCTTTATCCATCAGAATGTGGGGGAAGTTACAGCTAAAGACCAAACAATGGAAGGACGAAGGCGGCTAGAGCAGAAACTAGATGAAATGACAGCAACAGCGGCTGAACAAGAACAGTGCTCAGATATAACCCACTTTAGTGATGTCATCAAGTTTGATGCCAATACTCATGTCTACTACTTTGCTCATCTCTGGGATGGCAATCCCCCGATGGCCCCGCCCAATCCTCGCTACAGCCACAATGTCCAGGAACTGAAAAGTAGAATTCTTGAGACTGCCAAAGAGGAATCTAGGGGAAGTATCATGAAAGTATCAGATGTACAATTCCGAGTTAAAGATTTGTGGAGAGCCCTGTTGAATGAGAACTTTATTTTCAGCTTCAGGAACACCCGAGAAGTCATGGCCATGAGCAAATTGGAAACCATGTATAACAACTGGACCTGGGAGCTGAGGAGTCATGTGCTGAGCTTGCAGAACAAGCTGGTAAACCAGATTCAGAATGGAAAAATCCAGACATTCAGGACAAGCACATTCGAGGCTTCAGTTACAGAAAAATATGAGGCCATCAAGCAAGAATTGGAGAAATATTTTAATGAGGACCCAGATAGTGAAATACTGGTTCAGTGGAAAGCAAATTTTGAACATAAGCTAATAATCCTGAAAGAGGCACTTATTTCAGACAGCCAAAGAATAGCCAATGAACTTATTAGTTTTAAAAAAAGTCAAGAAGAACTAGATAACCAAAAGTCAGGTTATGAAAGAGAATTATTAGAAAGAAGCCAAAAGTTGGCTTTAACAGTGAAGGACAAACAACTGAGTGAGGAAGAGCTACGTGAGAAATTCGATCGACTTTGGAAAAAATGGGTCTATGCTGTGTCCTCAACGCTCCCTCCAATCACAAAGCCTGACATAGATGTGGATTCTGAAGACATCCTTTTGAATCATTTCAAACAGGAGAAAAACATGGGGAACATACTAAAGAGAAGTTCTGGAGAAAAGTTTCAAATCACCTATGACAAACATGTCAAAATGACCAAGAAATACTGGGTGGTTGAAAGGCAATTAGAGGTCTCTGATAAAGAATCCATAAAGATGACTACTGACCGCATTCTTTCAAGATTCACTGAAACCATAAATAACATTCAGAAGCAACAGCGTGATTACAACCCTAGTTACTTCCATGAAATCCTGAGAATAATAGATGAGGAGGTGAAATCTGCGCCCACTAGGGAAAGATACACATTTACGAGTGATTATAAAATTGACTTATCTTTGCATTTATTCCAAAGAGCATCAAAGAAATTTAATGAGATGCATGAGGTATTCAAGAGAGCAAATGATCCTGTAAACTATCTGCAAAGCAAAAAAGATGATTTCTTCATGAGTTTTAAGATCTCTTGTCAAGGAGCAACCTCAATCAAAACATTTGTTGATTTTCTGTGGGAAAAACTCACTCCTGCTATTTCCATCACCATAAGGAAAAAAATGGTCCCTAGCATTGCTGGGGACATACGAGCTACGTGCCCAGCATTCAATGGAAACAGGGCTAAGCTGGAAAAACACATTCTCATCTCTCTGGCAGAGGAAGAAAATTTTGATAATTACTGGCAATATATTCATAATCCAGAATTATTTTTTAGGAATTACATTAAAAGCCATATTGAAAGATATTGCTCAGACATTGGAAGGGAAAAAATGAAGACTTTCTTAAATATATGTTTAGGTGACATCAAGAATGCCATCCTCTCAGCTATTCATGAATCCACAGCAATAGCTAAAGATAAAAGCAGCACTGTGTCTGAGTGGTTGGATTTGTTCTGTGAGGGCCTGGGGAGTAACTTGATCTTTCCACGAAAAGATTTAATAAGCATTGAACACCAGGAGATAAAAGATACTGAGTTTCTCAAACAAGCCATGAGCACAGCTTTGGATCCCACAATGAAGAGAGCTGAACAGAAATATTTGAGCATGTCTGTAGAAGAAATGGCTCTTGAAATCCAGAAAATGCTCTCTGAACATCTCTGTGGCTGCTGGAAACAGTGTCCCTTCTGCAGAGCAATTTGTACAAACACATTGCCTGCACATGACGGAGACCACAGTGTTCCCTTCCATCGTCCTCAGGCTGTCAATGGGGGGAAATGGGTTAACACAGACCACTTTGCCATTGAGTTCTGTACTAGTAATGTAGCAAGTGATCTTCTTTTCGTTTTGCAAGATGGCCGGGAATACCCATATAAGAACTATCGAGAGGCAGGAGGGGAGTATGCCACATGGAGCATCACCCCAGACTCATCCACCCAGCCATACTGGAAATGGTTTGTCTGTCGCTTCATATCAAAACTAGAAGAAAGCTATCAGCGAAAATTTAGAGGTAGAGGTGAAATCCCTGATGCATGGACCAAAATCACAAAGCAGAATGCGCTTGATGACCTGAAAAAACAATAATATTTAATGACCAAAAAGCCCCAATATCTGAAGAAAAAAGTCACAGAACCTGAACAAGCCTGAAAGACCCGCTCCTCACAATGAGAATCCTCATTATTTCCATTTTTCAAATGTCACATCTAACAATAGATCTTTAACATTTCAAGAGTTGAAAATTTCCTGTGAAAGGGTTTCATTTTTCTTTGCCTCAACTCCTTCTGGTTTAAAAACAAATTACTAAAAACATATGAACATATAATAAAATTACATAGGATCTACTTAAAAGAACGACTTCATATTTTAAACTATCATTAGGAATGTTGTCTTGACTTTGAAATATTTAATGTTATATAAGTGTCGGAGAAAGTCATTTTTATAGAGGGAAATCAAAAACCATTTCAGACTGCTACAAATTTATATATGGACATTTTGACCAATATACAGTTCTTCGCCGCAAGGCATAAATTGTCCTTACTTTGTAAGTGCATTTTTCACCCCCTGAAATTGTGCAGAAAAGTTACTACCCCTTGAGTGGAAAAACACTCAGGGAAAGTTCATGATTCCCAAGCAGCGTAATACTTAGGCATACTCCATTCTGGGAAACCATAAAAGAGAGAGTTGGCCAGGATAGAGTCTGCGTCAGTTCAGGAAACATCAAGCAAATATGGGAAATACAAATCAAAAACTGTTTTTCTCATGTCACCACTACTCTCTTCTACCCTGGCCTCTTGGCAGTTCCCTGTGCATGTTTAAAAAAGAAAAAAAGGGTTCACAAGAGCTTAGGTATCCAAAGCCTAGTGCTGTGCACAAGTCTGAGAAGGAGTGGCTTTTGGAGCAAGATTTGGGACTAGGTAAGAAGGGCCATTTTAATCAAGGCTGTGGGCAAAGTCAAATGTGATGAACTCATTGATGATTACAAAAACTATTACTCCAAGAATAAAACATCATAACATATATACTTTTTAGGATCTGATATTTTAATAATAGATTCTATTTTATGTAGTCCAATGTAAGGAAATGCTTATCAGGCACCCTTGGGAATTTTCATACTATTTGAGCCATAGGGCCATGATCTGAATGAAAATCAAGAACACTCTGAAGCCAGCCAAGGAGCTCAGAGGGGAACGAAAGCATTGTTCTGCAAACCTCTACCTTCCGAAACAACAACTTCTGCTGGTTCTCACAGCTGATAAGCTAGAGAAATTCTGACACAAAGAAGAAAAGTTCCTCATTTGGGACGTAAGGGCATCCATTGGCTTTCATTTACAGGCACACTCACTACCCCTCCACAGCCTGTGAAACAGACAGTCCAGGGAACAGCAGGCCAAGGATTTGCATCTTCAGAGCTGGAGATAGGAGTGCTGACTCTGCTGGCTTTGTCTCCTCTAAGGGCTTCAAGCATACTCTCAGTTTCAGGTCAAATTACCCAGGCCTCTAGGAGAAATCCTGAAACAGAAAAGTTATGAAGGAAACTGGTGTTCTTGAACTGTTTTCCTTTTGTTCTCTGGAAAACACTCTCGTTGAGAACTGGAAGGACCTCCTAACATGATAAGTTCAAATGGAAATAGAACCCCTGCATAGCATGGCGCCTGTCTCTCACATCACTGTGGCCTTGAAAACTGCATTGTTCACTTAACCTGTGCTAAATGCTTTTTGTATTTGTTTAATGAATCCATAATGGCCTTTAACTAAGAGGTATCAAATATATCATATATTAACTTTTATTTTAAAGCCAAAATTATTGTGTCAATAAAAAATATCTTTGATAAATTCTTCAGTCATTTAAGCATTCTGACTATAAAGTGAGATTCAGAGGCTGTGCCCAAGACATCAAAAACATACTGGCAAGAAGCAAATTGGGATAGAGAGAAGATGACTATGTGGGAATGGTGTTTTCTGTGATAGTACTGGAGAGAGTAATACTGCCATCAAGGTGGTGTCAAGATTAAGGGGATTACACTGTCAATGGGTTGGAGTCACTGAGGGTGGAGACCTCAGGGACAGTGGAGGAGGAGGAAATGGAGTCAATAGGGATGACAATCATATGATCATCAAGAGTGAGAGACACTGTGCCCAGGTGTCGGTCACAGGATTGGAGTTGACCAGCGTTCTAAGGATAGAAGAGGTAAGGGTCACACGGTCAGTGGAATGAGTCTCTCAGACTCAGCGAAAGTGGGAAACATAAAAACCCAGGAATTGGTGGTCACCACATCAACAGATTTAGGGGATTTCAGAGTAAGTGAAGTAAGAGATTCCAAGTGCCATGTGAAAGAAGGAGTCACAAGGCCTGTAGGAGTGGGGCTAGGAGGGTGATGAAGTCTCAGACAACATCAAACCATGTGAGTAAGATGTGAGTGACTTAAATAAAGATCAAAATTTGCACTGAGAAGTTTTCAAGTAAGTTTCCCTCTCAGAGATGAAGATAAAAATAAGAGAAAGTCTAGGGAGTGGGCTGGGTCCTGGAATAAACGTTTGTGTCCTCCTAAATTCATATGCTGAAGCCCTGACTCCCAATGTGCTTTAAAGAATGGGGCCTGTGGAGGTCATTAGGTGAGATGAGATTGTTACCAAACCTGAAGTGAGTTTGCTCACCCATTGCACAGCAAGCCAATCTCTGACACTGGGGGTGGTGGAAGAAAGTAGGAATTTTATTTTTGCACAGTGCTGAGCAAGGAGAGAGGGAAGATAACAGTGAAATCTCAAACTCCCCGAAAAGGTGAAAGGAAGGCTTTTTATTTGGGGTTTTACGTAGGGGAGGGGGAGAACATGGCCTTGCTGGTCGGAGCTTTCCCACCAGCCTGTCTTTGGCCTTGAGACTACTTGCAGAGAGGAGGGAGCTCATGACCTTGCTGGTCAGCAGCTTTCCCACCAGCCTGTATCTCTTTGTGGAAGGAGATAGTCCAGGTGCTTGTCCTTGATGGTGTCTGTCTCCATGGGGATAGTGGATTCTGGAGCCAGGAAGCCAGAGAGTAAGCAGGGAATGAGTGTTTTGGTTTTAACCCCATATACGCTGGGTTTAATGCGGGGAAACTGATATCAGGGTCAGTATCAAGATCACAAGGCAGGGCCCTTAGGATCAGATTAATGCCCTTATAAGAAGAGACACCAGAGAGATCTCGCTCTTTCCAAGTGCGTTAACCCAGGAAAAGCCATGTGAGCACACAGCAAGAAGTGGCCATCTGCAAACCAGGAGGAGAACCCTCAACAGGAACTGAATCAGCCAGCACTTTGATCTTAGAAGCTGCAGAACTGTGAGAAATCAATTCCTGTCGTCTAAGTCACACAGCCTGTGGTGTTTTGTTATGGCAGCCTGAGCTGAGACAGGGAGCGTCTAAAAATTGACCCCCTTAAGTTTTGACATGCTTTTCCCTTGGACAATGGGGAAAGACATATGATCATACAATTTTAATTTTTCCCCTTGCCTAAAAATTGTAATTCTCTTGAATCATTCTAACCATTCAGTCAGCTCTGAAAAAGCCAGTCAGCCCTTTATGGTAGTGCTGTGGTGCATTTGCAGAGAAGACCATGGAGGAGAGTGTGCATGTTACATCTGAGACTGTCATGATAATTGCTAATCCTGCTACCTTTGTAGTAGTGGTGACTGTGAGACCTTGGGCATGTAATTTAACCTCTCTGTGCTCAAGTTAACCTGTCTGTAAAATAGTACGTTTTTCAAGCTGTTGTTGGGAAGAACAAATGAATTGCAACGTATAAAGCATTTAAGACAGTGCCACACACAGAGTAAGTACTCTATAAATGTAAATTATTATGATGTTACCCTGTCTCTCTCAAATTCCTTATTCCTTTGTTTTGAGTAACATTTTATTAGAACCACATCGAAAGGTTGAGATAGTCTCATCTGAGGTTCATTGGCAGGAACATTCAACAAGGACTCCTTGAGAAATCACAATTAAGAAGACAGATTGTTCTCAATGAATGTGATCATAACTTACAGCTCAAAATGCATCTCAAGATATCGATGTCCTTTGGTACTTTATCAGTAGTTACAACTATTTCAAACACTAATCAACCAAAGACAGAGAAGTCACTGCCACCATTCTCTAGCAGTGCTAAAGATAATATGTCTCAGGTTCCTCAGAAGCAGGCCTAGGACATAGATTCCCATGCAAGTGATTTATAAGAAGAGTTATCCTAGTGGAAAAGAATAACAGGAAGCAATAAGGAAAAGGTGATTTAAGGTAAGGGAATAAATTAGGAGGTTGAAGTCAAGTTCTGAGAGTTAGGGAATGGGAGCCTGCAGTTTTAGTTAAGAACACCAACTCGGAAGTTAGACTGCTTGGTTTTACATAGCACCTCCACTTTTTATATTTGGCACACAACGTTGTGTAATTTTAAGGTGTACAATATGTTAACTTGTTACATTTATATATTGTAATAAGATTGCCATTGTAGTAATACTTAGCACTTCCACCACATTACACAATTATCAGGGCCGGCCCGGTAGCACAGTGGTTAAGTTCACACGTTCTGCTTCTCGGCAGCCCAGGGTTCACTGGTTTGGATCCCAGGTGCAGACATGGCACTGCTAGGTAAATGCCATCCTGTGATAGGCGACCACGTATAAAGTAGAAGAAGATGGGCACGGATGTTAGCTCAGGGCCAGTCTTCCTCAGTAACAAAAGGAGGGGTGGCAGTAGTTAGCTCAGGGCTAATCTTCCTCAAAAAAAAAAAAAACCATAATTATCATCATCTTAGTGGTTAGAACAATTAAGTTCTAGTCTCTTAGTGGGTTTGTTGATTATAATACAATGTTGTTGTCTACAGTCACTGTACTGTGCATTAAACTGCCAGGGCTTATTTACTACTCATTATAAGTGCGCCCTTAAGCTTCATTTCTATTCACTTTCCACGTCAACCGACATACTCGAGTGATGCTGAATTTTATTCAGCTCCTCAAATGAGGCATAATTTCTTTACACGTGCAGTTACCTCTGTTGAGTCTTTGTTCCCTCTTCCTTCTCTTCATTGGAAGACTTCCTTTTATCCCTCAGGTCTCATTCCATCCTCCAGGAAACCTCCCTCAAAATATCATGCCAGAGTTCAGCCCTTCTCCCTAATTATTGTTTATGGCAATGTGGAGACAAATACATAAACCTCTATATTGGAATCAATTCTTGACTAAACGCTCTACACACTCCTGATATTTTTCGGACTAATAAAGTCATTTCTGAACTGAGCATCTAATTATAAATTGTTGAGAAAATCTTCGGAAAGATAAGACATATTAGATTCATGGAGCTGCTGGGAGATGAATTTTAAGCTATGTCAGAATTATCAGCCTGATAGATAAAAATAAAATCAGAGTATCTAGAAAATACACTTTATGTCTGTTTTATGTTTTATAAGCATCCTGATATATTTCCTGCCATTGAAAAAGTCTACTTGACAGTTTTGAATGGAATCTCTCTCCTGACAAAAATTCAAATTTTCGTGAATGTTATCTCTTGTGTGAGCTTTAATTTTAATGCTATACCTATACTTGGTTGTCATGGAAAATTAATATCATTCCAGTGGTTTTATTTTGTATATAGGTATGTTGTTATACCTTCATTAAGGTGAAAAGTAACAGTAGTTTTTCTTTCTTTAAGCTTATATCAACAAGAGATTAAAATGTAATGGCTATGATCTGCATGTGTGCCCCCAGAATCCACATGTGGAAATCCCAACTCCCAAGGGGATGGTACTAGGACTCAGGTCTTTGGGAGGTGATTAGGTCATGAGGGTGGAGCCCTCATGAATGGGATGACTGCCCTTATAAAAGAAGCTCTAGAAAGCCTCCTTGCCCATTGTAGGGGAGAGGGGAATTATCCTCGATCCTCTTAGGGTCCCTGGCCAGGTCTGAAAATTACTGACAAAGACAGATTAACAGGAGAAAAGCATAACAAATTTATTTAATATAAGTTTTACCTGACAAGGGCGCCTATAGAAGGAAATGAAGACCTGAAGAAACAGTCAGACCTGGGTATTTTTATGCTAGTTTTGATGAAGAGTGGTCAGTTGTGGAGGAATATGACAGGTCAAGCAGAATGAGGTAAATACAGTTAACTTGGGGAAATTTAGCAAGGCCTGTTTGTTCGGATCCTTCTCTGTGTCCCTGGTCCTTAAAGATAAGGATGCTTCTTTCCTCTGAGTTTAGGAAGGACACCTCTCACAAGAGGGTTTTATGACCTGTTTCAGGGGAGAAGGTCAAAGTGACCTCCTTGCCTCTGCCGTTTTCTCAAACTCCTTCAGCTTAAAATAGCCAATATGCCAAGGTGCTATACTTTGGAGTAGCGTGTCCTGAACCCCATCACTTTCCACCATGTGAGGTTACAGTGAAAAGACAGCCCTCTAAGAAGTGGGCCCTTGGCGCCGGCCCGCTGGCACAGTGGTTAAGCGCACATGTTCTGCTTGGATGGCTGGGGGTTCGCTGGTTCGGATCCCAGTTGCAGACATGGCACTGCTTGGCAAGCCATGCCGTCCGTGGTAGGCATCCCACATATAAACTAGGGGAAGATGGGCATGGATGTTAGCTCAGGGCCAGTCTTCCTCAGCAAAAAGAGGAGGATTGGCAGCAGTTAGCTCAGGGCTAATCTTCCTCAAAACAAACAAACAAAAAGAAGTGGACCCTCAACGGACACCAAATCTACCAGGTGCTTGATCTTGGACTTCCCAGCCTTCAGAATTAGGACAAATACATTTCTATTGTTTATAAGCCCCTTGGTTTATGAAATTTTATTATAGTGGCCCAAACGGACTGAGATAATAATCAA